CCATCTCCGAATATAATCTCGCCAGGCTAAAACAAAATTGAACAAAGAATCAACCATGAGTACCGTGTGTCACTAAAACTACATAGTACAACCTTCTTGTAATTTAATAATTACCATTATATGTTTTTACTAAACAGGAATGTATACATATGGGTATGCTAACAAGGATATCTGACCTCATAATAGTTATTCTGGTCATCCAGACAGCCACATTTCTCCAATGGGACACAGCGCCGTCCCTTGAAGACAAACCCTGGTTTGCAGAAGCAGCCACTGATACAGGAGCCAGAACAGTTGGTGGAAGGTTCCATACAGGTGGGGATACAAGCTGGACCACATTCTATATAGTCTGCATCAGGAGGGCATGGCTCTGTTCAGCAGAAAGAATACGAAATTGGTAGATGGGCAAAATAAATGTAAGAAATAATTGAAGAATTGAATAAAGAAACAAACGTTGATAAGGACTTGTCATACTTGTTGGTTTAGGAGTAGTTGGTCTAGGAGTTGTTGGTTTGGGTGTCAATGGACCGGGAGTTGTTGGTTTAGGTGTAGTCGGGCCTGGAGTTGATGGTTTAGGTGTGGATGGACCAGGAGTTGTTGGTTTAGGTGTGGTTGGTCCTGGAGTTGTTACCGGTGGTAGAGCTATAAATTAAAAATAAAGAGTGTCTTATGAAAACACCTGTCATTGACACACCATATGCATATGTTGATGGTGCAGAGAGTAACTTGAATTCCCTCTGTTCAGTTTCTCACCTTTGCAGGTCATGACACACACAGCATCAACGGCAATATCGGTTTTAGGAGTTTCTCCAAAGGTACCCACGATCACAAACTGAAATACATAAAAATGGGACAAGAAAGTTAATGTAACCCTATGCACATACACAGAGACAGATATTGTTCAAGTATTTACCTGAATGGCAGCAGCTCCCAAGTACCGGACCTCTGCGGGCTTCCAGCCCTGACCCTGGTTACCCCTTACAGTGAAGAGAGCAGGTCCAAGGCTTCCACCTGGTAAACAGAAAAACAAATTCAAACGAAACAAACGTGTTAATGCTGTCTGTTTTCCTGTCTGTATGGACATTACAATAAATGTAATCGTTTACCTGTGGTGATGGTGTGGACGCTGAGCTCCATGGTGGTGCTGGTGCCGTACAAGTAGTAGTGGAAGGTGAGGTCCAGACATCCAGTGGAGGAGGTTATTAGAGTACTTGTGATCTGAGACTTGGCTCCAGGGATAGCCTCGGTAGAATCCATCAACATGTATGAGCCCACTATGTATGGAAGGATCAAAATAAACAATTGTCATGTTGGTAAGAATAAATCAAAATCAAATCAACTGAAGTATATGGCAAAATTCATACAAAGTCAATGAAAAGTGTTTTGAGATTTGTTTAAGTTAGCAAAAAAAAGAAAAACCACATACATCCAGGTTTGGAGAAGTCATCATCAGGCCCGGTGCCTTCAGTTTCAGTTGATCCAGTCCACTGGTCGAAGCCAAATATAGCAGGATTCTCAGCTTGAGTCGTCCACCCACAAAAATCACCAGTATCAAAATCACAGCCAGACACACAAGCTGTGAACAAAACATTTAGACAATCAGTGATACAGCAATTTGTGTTTGTGTCGAGGTGTGTGAGCGTGTTAGTGTGTAAGCTTACCGGGACATGCTCCTTCAGTGATGACGATGTTGTCCAGACCTGTGTCACAGGAATAACTGAAGCCTCTCTGAGCCTCAAACACAATCTATGGACACAGAGCATACCTTATCACCCTACATGATAAAAATACAGCAATTGTACTTTGCACATGAGTTGTAGATTAATTTCAGTTTTGTAATCTGGTTAGATTGAATTAATTATTGTGGCAATTAACTCAGTAAGTCAGCCCAACACTATAGTTTTTCTTTCACAAAACAGTAAATGTGTTTCCATCCATTGTTTTCTTTTTCCGGTTTAATTAGTGATTTTTAGAAATACCAATGTATTGGGGTCCTGGGGTCCAGTCAAAAGCAACCAATTTAGCATATGCAGCTTTTATAGATGGAACTGTTTATTGAGTTCATGTTTGCTATTGGTCACAATTTAAAGTCTGTGCATTAGGAAGGTCTGTCAAAGCCATCCAGACTTAATTGGGGGGAAACCCAAGTATATTTGAAAAATGATTTAGAAGAATTAACTTTTAAGAAAGAATTAACTTTTTGTTAGAATATTTCATGACACTCACAGTGACGCTCTGACTGCTGGGTTTGGACACGGTGACAGAGCCCTTCAGCCAGGATGGACTCTGGATACCCATCTTCTTCCAGACCTCCTCATCACCGGTGGGCTTCTTGGCCAGAACACTCAACACATTCTGATTGTCTGATCCATACATGTAGTATCGGAACTGGACACAGATCTGAGAGGCCGATGATGAGAGGGCAGCGCTCAGCAGACGCGCTTTCTGTCCATTAGCAACATTGTCACACTCATGGTAGATATAGTAGCCCGCTGCAGACAGATTGAGACAAAAGAAGACGTGTATTGAGTCATAATTTAGTGTGTCCATCTTAAGACTCTCAATTAACCTCAATCATGGCCTGGCCATTGGTTACACTAATTGTACAGAAATGAGATATTTCAGATAAATCATGCATTCAGGACTGACCTCCATCAGGGTAGTCTCCACTGGGGCCAGTACCAGGTGTCGGGGTTGAGCCTGTGTGTCGGGTCCAGTCACCGTTGTCTGCGCTGTCCTGACTGAACCTGCAGAATGGTTCACTGTCCTGGTTAAAGTCACAGGAAGTCAGCACTACAGCTGCAGAAACACAAAGACGACACAGGGAGATAGACAAATGGATATCGCAGAGGTCAATAACAGCAATTGATATAATTTACCACCAAAACAATCCGTGGTCATTGCTATGAATTATTCAATGCAACTATTAGCAAGATCTCGCTTTTTGAGATTCTGGGCCAATACAAGATGAGTGGCTCTAAGATAAAAGATGGATCGATGAGAATAGGTTTGGTTCCAGATGAGTCTCGCTGAAGTCCCACGAGTTGTAAAATCCCTAATATATACTGTACATTGCAGACTAGATGACCCAGAAGACCTGGGTCATTTAAAACACTGAGGTCTAGCCATTTTGGCGTCATGCACCACTGAACAACTTTATCTTATGAACGGGCCCTGCATCCAAAGCTATACCCATTTATTTTATCAATCCATAACTTCAACAACCTCCATCAATCCATCTGCAAGCTTATTGCTGTGATGACAACACAAAGACAAACACTTAAAAAAATGTTGAATCTGATCTTGGCAATGTCCTCAAGTTTGGAAATCTAATGCCAGCATCTATGCTGGTGTAACTCATTGGAAAATAGTTACTAAAACATTTAAAATAATCTCCATTCACTAATCATTATTTTAATTGTATTAATAGCCACATCTTTTATTTTATTCCCCTTTATTTTATTCTGTATTTAATTTATTTTCAGTTTTAGCTCAAATGATCTAATTTGGCATCAGTGAGCGTTCTATTGGAAGAAACTTGACGACAAACAAACTTATTGGTTCAAGGTGGAATAATTAATAATAGGTGCAAAAAATAACTCAAGTCCTGCCTCCTTCACTCAGGTTAGAGAGACGCAGTCTGATGTGACGCAAGCAGAGCATGGAGGGAGAAATCATGGAGTGATATTACACAGGAAACATTACTTGTACTTGATGTAAAAACTATTTGAGCATTTAAGAGTTCAGTCAGCTATTAAAACGACCCCTCGGTGAGTTACGAACATCAAAACACTCGCGGTTTACGGCGCATTAGCCACATGCTACTAGCTCTGTGAATTAGCATAGCCCTCGCGGTGCTTTAGCCACTGAGTTGTACCGCAAATTTAATATAATGCAGCATTTCTATAACATAGAAGGGAATGACAATATTTGTGTGTAATATTAGTATGTGTGTTATTTACATTGTGTGAATTTTCGGAGTTTCACAGTCTATGAAGCTAATGTAACTCTGTACATTACTGTGCTGCTGCTGTGCGGTGACCACGAGGTGTCAGTATTGTGACAATGAAGCTTATGTTCCCATTACGAGCCACCCATAGGAGCACCTGGATTCAGGACCCTTAAGGTTCTTCACCGGCCCTGCTGTCAGTGTGGTACGAGTGAGGCCTCAAAGAACAATTAACCAGAACGTTCTTCTTATTTTTGGGAGGAGATATATTTTATTTAGGGTGCATCCACTTTCAAAGACAGTTCAAACAGAGTAAGATTGAACGCTGTTCTATTAAATGTGTGTCATTCCAATGATCTGGCTTTAAACCTACCTCTGTGTTCTGTTTAATCATTTACTTGATTACTGCTCATCACAGTGTCTGGATTATGAATCCAGACACTGGTCCAGTGTGCACTTACCTCAGAGGTGGGTTACACTAGCTTACCCATCATTTCTTAGAGGAAGTGATTCTTTATAGGGCTCTGAGTGAGGACTGCTATCCCCCTGTAGCGTTCTGTGTGTGTGTGTCTGATCTGTGTTAACACATCTGCACAGTGTTAATGTGTTTGTATGTTATGGATAGTGAAGAAAAGGAGCTGTAAAGAGATAAAGTCCATGAGGATAGTATGGTGGAGTCACATGTCATGCTACTGTCTCAGCACTGTGTGAGCATGCCATCCAACTTCTACAAATAATCACATTTAGATTCTAGAAAATACACAGGATTTATTACATGATGAAAACAAACATACCATCTCTCTGTGTTTTCTGCAGGCTGTAAAAGAGAGAGAGAGAGAGAGAGACACATGAACAGATTCAGATTTGTTTGTCAAGTTTGGTTAAAAGCACCTTGTTTGTCGTCATTCAAAGTTTCAAAGTTTCAAAGTTTGCTTTATTGTCAATTCCACAATGTACTGAACATACAGGGGAGTTGAAAAGACGTTTCTCTCTAGTCCAACATATAAACATATAAAGTGAATACAGTGCAATAGATTAAAAAATTGATATCCAAAACATTACCACGGACAAATTAGTAATTCAAATACTTTAAGGATCACCTCTATGGTTGTATGAGGTAGATCCAGATACACAGAGATAAATGTACTGGACCGCTGAAATGTAAAGTGTAGATTTATCTAACGTCAATAAAAACAAGAGCTTATTTACTAAAATTGGCAACATACAAGCTGCAGTCATCAACATGAGACGGTTAATTATAACAGGTTTATATCATCAAAACAAACAATAATAAGTGTGACCCATGTGTCGGACTTGAGAAACGAGACACTGCTCCCATTTATGAGCAGTCGGTATGAAGTGTAATGCTGCATTAGATAATCATTATGTCACAACGTGTACAATAAAGGCACCATCTTTATATGGATTTAATGTGAATTCACACTGATACCACAGAGCAGCAGTTCCCAACAAAAGGGTCTGGAATCTCAGGAAGACAATTAACAAGATAAGAAAGAAATATATATATTTTTGCAACACAATTTTTTATTTGTTTAAAATTTAAAAAAAAAAATATATATAAAATTAAAATTAAATTAAATTCCAGTCCAAACACAGGTAACTCTTCTGAATGATACATGCAGAAATCTGAATAACTAGCATTGTTTAAGATTAGTGGATTGACAGAAAAGGAATTATTCACCATTTTTAAAAAATTTGTGAAACATTTAGAAATGTATTGCTTTTCATATAATTATAAATTGACGGCTAATTTTTGAATTGTTGGTATGCCAAAATCATAAATCATGTAACAAGTGATTTGTCATGTTGGATGTGATATTTTTGGGGACTCACCTGTGCTCTGCCTGTCCTCCACATATCCACAAGAGCAGGAATAGAAACTTTAGTGTATCCATGGCTAACTGTTACTTAGCAGGGAGGACACAGAGGGACAGAGCGGAGGACTTTATATATAGAGGGCTGAAATGGTATGGGGGTGTGTGTGGGGGGGTGGATGCTGAATTTTTGCATTACTTGATGTTGCAAAATGCGTAAATGAGTAACCGTTGGTGATAGGGACAGGGTGTGTTTTCATTGCGTGTGATTTTGTAGGTGTGTATCTGAGCTTGTGTGTGTGTGTGTGTGCTCTTTGACCTCTCAGCAGTTCACAGGGTGGGTGGGGATGCCCATCAAACACTATATTACAAATCACCAACTTGTACTCTGAGACATTATGGAGCTCGTTGTGTAATAAACAAAACACTTTGATCACATGGACACACCTTTTCATGTATGCTGATGTGTGTAAGAAGAAGGCTCGTCTCTGTCTGTGTGTGAAATGGAAATACAGTAACATTATATCCTTTTGACTCGAGTCACATATTTGATGACTTTATTAAAAAACACTTGCAACTCGACTTGGACATAAACACCAATGACTCTCACTTCACATGGACTTGAGTCTACTTGTCACCTTCCCCCAGGCCCAAATATTAAAAAGTATGATATTTAAAAAGTGTAATTAATTTCCTTTGACTTCGACTCACATTGGCGCTATTCACTCCTAGCAAGTCAACACTAAATCATTATATTTTTTTCATATTCTTTTTTTTTCATGGCAAACGGAACACGGAACGGAACACGGAACTGAACACGGAACTGAATACGGAACGGAACAGTCACACTTTTTTTTGTTTGAACAAAATAAACATGATGGTGTTTAACATGCCATTAGATTTTAGGACTTGCTGAGGACCCGAAACACAAAGTTTAGGTCTTGACTTGGGACTTGACTTGGGACTTGACTTGGGACATAACTTAGGACATGACTTAGGACATAACTTGGGACATAACTTGGGACATGACTTGGGACATGACTTGGGACATAATTTGGGACATAACTTGGGACATGACTTGGGACATGAGTTGGGACATAACTTGGGACATAACTTGGGACATAACTTGGGACATAACTTGGGACATGACTTGGGACATAACTTGAGACATAACTTGGGACATGACTTGGGACATAACTTGGGACATGACTTGGGACATGACTTGGGACATGACTTGGGACATAACTTGGGACATGACTTGGGATTTCAGTGCAAAGACTTGAGACTTACTTGTGACTTCCAAAACCATGATTGGTCCCACCTCATCTCTTTTGGATTTTGATCAATTTATCCAAGCAATTTTATGGTAATTATTATTATTGAAACGCAGAAAAAAGATATAGAATGTTGAGTTATTATTTGAGGCTTCAGACTTTACAGGGTTGAACTGATGACGCCGTCTTCTGTCTCGGTCTTCTTACATTTCCAGCCTCGTTGCTTTTGTTACGCAAATCAAATTGTTGTTAAACTTTGTTTTCCATAGCAACCAGACTGACTTAACTTGTGTGTATGTGTACTTTGATCTCGGGCTCGCTCCATCACCAGTGACGCTCACAATGAGGGTTATCTGTGAAAGTGAGATCTAATCGCTGCCTTTAAGGCCCATGCTGTTGGTTTTAGTGTGAGCATTTTACTTGAAATCACCTACGTCTTGTATAAGCTTTTAGACTGACTCTGACTCTGGTTGTTTCAGTACACAGAAAATATGACATTTCATATTTGATGAAGGAATTTGATTGATGGCATGTTTGTACTTCTTGTGTTGACCCTCACTCACACAATACATTCCTTCACCATCACAGGAATAAATATTCAGAAGTTGTTAGGAAAATCTCTTTATTCATATGATTATTTAAAGCCACCATGTGCATCTGGTCCTGGATGAAGGAGACACTTGTAGTCCTTTCAAATGTTTTGAACATGAAGTACGCTGACCATCTCTTTAAGGTGATGAGTTCTAATTGGTGACGAGAAAATACAGAGAGACAGTCACAGAGCTGCAAAGTAGAGGTAATGACGAGGCGTTGTAGTTTTCTGAAATGTTAAGACTGTGGTAAGATTCCAAATGCTGGGAAATTGCACTACGACAATGTTTGAGGAGAGATGTTTTCATTGTAAACTCAGCAAGCTGACTCTATGAAGACCTGGGGCCCTGAGGTTCCGGGGCTAATCCAGGCTGGGGACTCAGCAGGGTGCAGTCAGTATTTGAATATAGGGTGTGTTTCTTTTTCACGTCAGTGTGATGAATGCAAGCCGTCACACTGTGTCCTCTCTTATGTTTGAACAGCTATGAGTGCAAAGCTCTTTTGATAAATGCTGGAATTTTCCCACTTTACTGTGACACTTTTGATTATATGGATTGACCGACTAAAAATGATAAATAATACCATGCATCATTTCAAAATGAGTAAAAACATGTGAATAATAAACAAGCAGTCCTTTTCTTTATCTTGTCAGAGATTGTCAGAGCAGCATGTAAAAATGAAACATGAAAATATCATAGAATCCAAGCTGCTCTGTAGGTGGAGATTGGACTTCAAAATCATAAAAATAACATCTACATGAGCCAGTTATCTGCGTGCGAGTGTGGAAGTGCCAGAGTCATAAAGATACTGGGATGGGAGGAAACTCCTCCAAAGTGAGGTGAGGGCATTTGTATTGGTATTCATCATGACAGAGGGAATTCTGTGTACTTTGTGAGGGCTGTGGTTGCAATCTGCTGTATTTTAGTTTACTTTAAATTTAGTTATTTTTGAGTATATTGTGCCAAGGGGAGTAGCAGAATATACATTTTCGGGCCTTACAAGGTTGGAGGACTTGTGTCTGTTGTATTCATCACTGCATGTGTTTGCACTTTGCTGACATGATTTAATGACATGATTGATCACTGTGTCATCTGCGTGGTACTCTAAATTTATGGCTCAATAATGAAATGGTCCATCCATCCATCCATTTTCCTCCGCTTATCCGGGGTCGTGTCGCGGTGGCAACAGGCCAAGCAGGCTGACCCAGACTTCCCTCTCACCGGCAACATGTTCCAGCTCATTCTGGGGGATCCCGAGGCGTTCCCAGGCCAGCTGGGAGATGTCATCCCTCCATGTAATCCCTCCAGCGTGTTCTGGGTCTTCCCCGGGGTCTCTTCCCAGTTGGACGTGCCTGGAAAACCTCCAGTGGGAGGCGTCCAGGAGGCATCCTAATTAGATGCCCGAACCACCTCAGCTGACTCCTTTCGACGCGAAGGAGTAGCGGCTTGACTCCAAGCTCCCTCCTGATGACCGAGCTCCTTACCCTATCTCTAAGGCTGAGCCCGGCCACCCTACAGAGGAAGCTCATTTCGGCCGCTTGTAACCGCGACCTTCTCCTTTCGGTCACGACCCAGAATTCGTGACCATAGGTGAGGGTAGGAACGTAGACCGAGTGGTAAATTGAGAGCTTTGCCTTCCGGCTCAGCTCCCTCTTCACCAAGACGGTCCGGTGCAGCGCCTGCTTTACTGCTGCAGCCGCACCAATCCGTCTGTCGATCTCCCGCTCCATCTTACCCTCACTCGTGAACAAGACCCCAAGATACTTGAACTCCTTCGCTTGAGGTAGGCACTCCGTCCCCACCTGGAGGGAGCAATCCACCGGTTTCCGGCAGAGCACCATGGCCTCAGATTTGGAGGTGCTAACTCTCATCCCCGCCGCTTCACACTCGGCTGCAAACCGCCCCAGTGAATGCTGGAGGTCATGATCCGAGGAGGCTAACAGGACCACATCATCTGCAAACAGCAGAGAGGCGATCCCGAGACCCCCGAACCTGACGTTCTCCACCCCCAGGCTGCGCCTAGATATCCTGCCCATGAAAGTCACGAACAGGACCGGAGACAAAGGGCAGCCCTGGCGGAGGCCAACACACACCGGGAACGTGTCTGACTTATTGCCGAGAATGCGGACACAGCTCCTACTGCAGTCGTACAGAGACCGGATCGCCCGTTGTAATGGGTCCGGCACCCCATACTCCCGCAGCACCCCCCACAAGAACCCCCGAGGGACCCGGTCGAAAGCCTTCTCCAAGTCCACAAAGCACATGTAGACTGGTTGGGCAAACTCCCAGAACCCCTCCAGTAGTCTTGCGAGGATAAAGAGCTGGTCCACTGTTCCACGGCCGGGACGGAATCCGCATTGCTCCTCTTGTATCTGAGGTTCGACAAACGGTCGGAGCCTCCTTTCCAGCACCCTGGCATAAGCCTTCCCCGGGAGGCTGAGTAGTGTGATACCCCGGTAATTCGAGCACACTCTCCGGTCCCCCTTTTTGAAAATGGGAACCACCACCCCGGTCTGCCAGTCCATGGGCACTGATCCCGACCCCCATGCGACATTGAAGAGGCGTGTCAGCCAGGACAGCCCAACTATGTCCAGCGCTTTCAGCATCTCAGGGCGGATCTCATCCACCCCCGGCGCCTTGCCACCAAGGAGCTTTTTGACTACCTCAGCGGCCTCTGCCAGGGGTATGGGTGAGCCTCCCCCTAGATCTTCAGGCGCTGCCTCCTCTGCAGAGGACATGTTGGTCGGGTTTAGGAGTTCCTCAAAGTGCTCTTTCCACCGCCCGACAATGTCCCCTGTCCGGGTCAGCAGTTCCCCCCCCTGCTGAGAACAGCCTGGGGTAAACCCTGCTTTCCCTTCCTGAGCCGTCGGATGGTTTGCCAGAACCTCCTTGAGGCCAACCGAAAGTCCTTCTCCATGGCCTCCCCGAACTCCTCCCATGCCCGAGTTTTAGCATTTGCGACCACCGCAGCTGCAGCCCTTCTGGCCTGCCGGTACCTGTCAGCTGCTTCGGGAGACCCCTGGGCCAACCAGGCCTTGAAGGTCTTCTTCTTCAGCTTGACAGCTTCCCTCACCTCCGGTGTCCACCACCGGGTTCTCGGGTTGCCGCCACGACAGGCACCGATGACCTTCCGGCCACAGCTCCTAGCGGCCGCGTCCACAATAGAGGCTTTGAACATGGTCCATTCGGATTCCATGTCCCCAACCTCCCTCGGGATGTGAGAGAAGTTCTTCCGGAGGTGGGAGTTAAAGACATCCCGGACAGGGTCCTCCACCAGACGTTCCCAGTTCACCCTCACTACACGTTTGGGCTTGCCGGGTCTTTCCAACCGGTTCCCCTGCCATCTGATCCAACTCACCACCAGGTGGTGATCAGTTGACAGCTCTGCTCCTCTCTTCATCCGAGTGTCCAAGACATACGGCCGCAAATCAAATGATACGATTACAAAGTCGATCATTGATCTCCGGCCTAAGGTGTTCTGGTACCAGGTACACTTATGAGCCACCTTATGTTCGAAAATGGAGTTCGTTATGGCCAAACCGTGGCAAGCACAGAAGTCCAATAACGAGACACCATTCGGGTTCAGATCGGGCAAGCCGTTCCTCCCAATCACCCCCCGCCAGGTTTCTCCGTCATTGCCCACGTGAGCATTGAAGTCCCCCAGGAGAACTATGGAGTCGGTAGATGAGCGCCCTTTCCAGGACCCCTCCCACCGACTCCAAGAAGGCCGGATACTCTGAACTGCTGTTTGGTGCGTAAGCACAAACCACAGTCAGAGCCTTGCTCCCCGCAACCCGTAGGCGCATGGAGGCGACCCTCTCATTCTCCGGGGAGAAGTCCAACACAGCGGCGCTCAGCCGGGGGCTCGTGAGTATCCCCACTCCCGCCCGGCGCCTCTCACCCTGGGCAACTCCGGAAAAGGACAAAGTCCAACCTCTCTCCAGGAGCTTGGTTCCAGAGCCAGCGCTGTGTGTGGAGGTGAGTCCAACTATATCTAGCTGGTATCGCTCCACCTCCTGCACCAGCTCTGGCTCTTTTCCCGCTAGCGAGGTGACGTTCCACGTCCCTAGAGCTAGTCTATGCCGCCGGCGATCGGCTCGCCCAGGCCTCCCGCCTGACCCGCCGCCCGGTCTGCATTGCACCCGACCCCGATACTTGTCCCTGCGGGTGGTGGGTCCACAGGGTGGCTGCTCCATGCTGTTTATTCGGGCTGAGCCCGACCGGGCCCCATGGGCGAAGGCCCGGCCACCAGACGCTCGCCGACGAGCTCCCCTCCTGGGTCTGGCTCCGGGAGGGTGCCCCGGTTTCCCTGGTCCGGGCGAGGTGGCTAAAGTCCGTGGGCTGCTTATCATTAGGGTCGTTTGAACCGCTCTTACTCTGGGCTCTCCCCCGAGACCTGTTTGCCTTGGGAGACCCTACCAGGGGCTAATGCCCTGGACAACATA